AATTTTAAATATAATGTAATTTATATATATATATATATATATATATATATATATTTGCTATATAATAAATATTTAACGTGTACCATATACAAATATTTGTTTGAAATAAATTCAAGAGTTCAATGAACTCTAACACATAATTAATGATTGTGTTCTCTAATTTTTTTATCTTTTTTTTTATTAGTGTGAATAGTGAGTTAGTTATACTTTTGAAAAGAATTAAAATTACTTATATTATACTAATATTTTAAAGTTCACATCTAACAATTTTTTTAAGAAAAAAATAATTATCAATAAAATTAATAGATACTTCATACTAATAATATAATTTTAAAAAATTACTTTAAGCTCTCTAACACTTTGGAATGTAGGATCTCTCTGGTAATTAATGTGTGAGAATTAATTAACCATAATATAAAGACTATTTTAAGAATGAGTTGTGATATTTTATTATGTGATCTACCATATATAAAAAAAATGGGTTAAAAATTTTAACTTGTTTGTTTATTAATAAGTTGGTAAGTTAACCTACTTATTAATTAAAAATAATGTTTTAATTATATTTATATGTAATATTTATTAATATATATATATATATATATTAGTTTAAATTTTAAATAATAATAACAAAATTCATTTGTATATATATATATATATATATATATATATATATATACTAGTTTTTTAATAAAAGTTTATTCTTACATCCCACTATCACTTGTTTATTGTTAGAATTAGTATACTCTAATTTATTTATATTATTACAAATGAAAACCTATACTACTATGGCTCTAATAACTAAAAATTTATTTAATATTTTGTAATTTAGGGTTTAAAAAAGGTATTTGATTAACTTATCATATAAAAGTTAATTTATTTAAATAATTTTTAATATTTACATTTTAAAAAATTAATGACTCATGGGCATGTCTGTTTTGCCTATGGCTATGAAGGACTCTAACTAGAAAAAAATAAAAATCAATTTACTACAATTCATCTGTCTAACATAACTCGAAAATGTATTGATATGTGATGGATTAGTCCAAATGAGCATAAGTCACATAATTTAACAACTTAACTTAAATTGCTGTTTTTTTTAAAGGAACTTAAATTTTTATTTAAAACATCTAATTTTATACTTCTATAGTTTAATTTATTTTACACATCATCACTATGATTTTTTTTAATAATATGGTCACTTTAATTATTTATACTATTCTTTTAAAAAATATTTTCAAATTATATCACCAACTCATTTTATTTAAAATTTTTTAACCTTTTGTATAAAATAGTTACAAATATTTTAATATCAAAATAAACTATAGAAGTATTATTTTAGGAATGACTTTATATTTATTTTACTCCATTCTTATTAAAGATGTCACCAACTATTAGTCTTAATTTGTTAGAATTAATTAATTATACAATTTTTTTTAATGTATTTAATTGTTAAATTATGTTTTTATATTTTATCCAAACTTATAAAAATATCTACAAATAATTTAAAAAATAGGGAGAGTGTCTCCACTCTGCTGCATCCAGGACCACTAACATCGAGTGCAACCGTCCTCCCTTTCATGACTCACTACCTCGGACACGTTGATGTCCGAATGCGGAAAACACGAACTCGTAGGAATGTCAGCGTGTTTCTCTTCAACCTCGGTTCCGTTCTCGGAATCTTCATTCGCATTTTCAAGACCAGCACCTCTTTGCTCAAATTCAATTACCGTATGTTTTTCCCCCCTCTTTTTTCGTTATAAATTTGTTGCACCAAATGCACTCACTGTTTGTTCTCTCGGTTGTTAATTTTTGCAGGTTTCATCGAATAACTTTCATTCAGTGACAGGTGGTGGTCGTCTTCTACTGAATGTTGGAGGCACAAGTTTGTGTCGGAGGCTTCGTGGTTTCAAACTGTGGATACTTGAGAGACTCAATTTCCAATTCCAAACACCTAAGCAACCTAAGAATAGAAATATCTTCAAAAATAATTTGGAAAATACAGGTTTATCAAATGAAAAGGAATCGGTTTCTGGTTCATCTTCAATTCTTCGTGGGCCTGATGGTGTGTTGAATTTTTTTGACCGTTTTTACTTCTTTTAGTTGTTTAGAATTCCATGTGATTGACTGTCTTAAAACTTGCAACATATTTCTCGTGATATTCCCACAGATAAGGTTATTCCCATGGAGTCTCCATCTTTGCTGCAGACAGGTTTGTCTGGTACTTCCATGGATTTTAGCAGAAAACCCTCACTTTGCATTGTTGTCATAGGAGCCACTGGCGAGCTGGCAAAGAGGAAGATTTTCCCTGCTTTATTTGCTCTCTATTACAGTGGCTTTCTTCCTGAGGTACATTGGCTTTTATTACCCATTTGCCCTTTTTTATTTTCAACTCAGAGAGAAATGATACATGTATAACAAAGAGAGAAATTTAAAATGTAATAAATGAAGTGATAGAGAAATAGACGCAAAAAGAGATGTACAAGTTGTTAGAATTGTTATACTTCTACCATTACTCTTCAACTTAAGAGTTTTGATACATGCATTTCAAAAGCGCTAACCACAAGCGTGTGGTTTAGCGGTAGGGGTTGATCTACGCTTAAGCAAGGTCAGGGGTTCAAATCCTGCCTTGTGTATGCAGCTGCGTTAAATCTTGGAGCCAGCTATCCCACCCTTTGAGGTGCCTCCAACGTAGCGAGGAGATTAGTCACTGCTATTGACCCTGTCTCTCTAGAGACAAACCAACAAAAAAAAAAATGCTAAGCTTTTGGGCCTAACTATATCAGAATTTGGGTTTGGGAGTGACTCAACCTCAAAAAGTAGTTCATGAGTTGAGAATTCTCACGTATATACATTATTTTAACCATATCACTAGTTTTAAACATCAATGAAGGATTTCTAACACTCCCTCCCAGGAGGAGGCATTTGTGGGTGGCTTGATAATAGCCTGATAATAGGTGGCCCAATATGGGTAGTAACAACAACTGGAATCATAATCATGCATAATCTCAAATATTATCAGTTTCGGTACATAGACCAAATGATACAATGTAAGCAAAAGTTTCTTGATTCATGGAGATATAGAACAACATATAAGTTATCATGCTTGCATATCCACCATTTGAGTCAATTCTTGTTGGGATGCAAGCAAAGTCTCACATCGTTCAAACAAGAGGATGGATATGAGTTTATATACACACACTTGTCTCCATTGGTCGAGAGGCCTTTTGGGTGATGTCCAAAAGCAAATCCATGAGGGCTTGGGTCCAAAGCGGATAATATCTCACCAATGTGGAGACATGTGTATATGCGTGAATGTGGAGACATGTGTATATGCGTGGTAGCCCCTTGATAGCTCAATCGTATCACTATCAAACAATTCAGGTTCCTCAACAAATTTTTGTAATATATAGAACTTAACCTAGGTCATCTCTCAAGGACACAAGCACATTGTATTTTGAATTTAATCATGTATGTAAATCAGTTTAGAACTCGGGGGGAAGAAATTTTCAAGCAAACAATTAGAACAAAGTATTAGGAAAGTAGAGAAATCAAATCAACACAAAATTTCAATAGTATAGAAATCTAGTATAGAAATTCGGTTCAAGGTTTCAATTCCTACGGTATAATCATCATTGTTCACAACAAATACGAATTCTTAATCCATCTAATTCAATCCGAAATTAATCCAAACAGTAATCTAAATCTAGATTGTGAATTTTATTAAAACAGAAACTACAATCGCACGTTCCAAATTTCAACAAAATTCAAGAAAAGTAACCGATTGAATTAGGGATTTAGGTTATTTCTAATCAGAAAATACTTCTTCTCATTTTCATTTAGGATTCAAAACAGAGATTCACTATCATGAAAAACCGAATTTAAAGTAAATAGAAAAGAGGAGAAGAAGAAGAAAGAATTCGTTCGGTAAAAATTAGAAACTCAAATTTACCGTAGTTCTTGAAACCTCAAACCGATTAAGGAATTAGTCTTGCCTCATTATCATGTTGCAACAAATTCCAATTGAGAGAAGAAATTCCGTGAGAGAGAAAAAGATTCATGAAAGAGAAAGTGAGAGAGAAGAAGATGAGAAGTTTCTAAAGAGAGAAGAGAGAATTTGAGAGAAACTTCTTTTAGAAACTTCTTGAGGAAGTTATCCCAAATCTGAAAATCTAAAAAAATGAATTTTCAAAACTCCAACTCCTGAGTCATTACATGCTTTTAAAGACAAAATAATGGGCCTAAAACCAAAGGTCCAGTCCGCTAATTACAATTCAAAAGCCTAATTAACTAAACTAAACAGTTTCATGACAAGCTGAACAATCAAGTGCAGAGCCGCGACTTTAAAGCACGATTTTGGGTCTGAAAATGTCCAAACTGGGTTTTTCGTCCAACATGAGAATTGTAGATCTCTGTCTTATCTTTACAGGGACACCAAGTTTGCCAAATTCCGAGTTGAATAGCTCCAGATATGGCTTGTACAAGAAACTGTGTCAAAACAGGAAGTTCTTACGGAAAATTAGTAAAATTTATAACTAATTCCTAAATGATTCACTAATGCAAATCTAAACTAAAACATGAATATAGGATACTAAAAAGAATCAAATAAGGTAAAAACACATAAAGAAAGATATACTAAAATATAACTATCACCCCCTCGGACCACAACAATTCTAAATTGACAAAATGAGTTATAATTATTAAACATAAGTTTTTGAAATTAGATCAATAATTCAAGTTTTTTGAGTATGAGTAAAGCATCTATGGAGAAAGATATAGACTCTCATACCATCTTAGATTTTGAATCTAACTCATTCTCACAAAACAGGTTTGTGAGTGAGGGATGCCTAAGTTTTATAAACTTTTATCTGATACCATCTCTTGTTAATGTGACTTGGGTTATACCCAATAAAAGCTTCAATTCATATATTGAGACCCAATTCAGATGTACTAAAATTACATTAGACTCATCTAGCAAGCAACAACAGAAGCACACATCATCTGGCAGGAGTTATCCATAGATTTCAACAAGTTTTACGGTGGGTACTGAAGACATAATACATCCCTCCTTCTTTACCTGGGCTGTTTGCACCATAACCGCAGTTCATCCTCCACTTATCGAGTCTTTTATGTAAATTAATTTGTAGCTTTGTTTTTTTTCCTCCGTTGAATTCCTTTGTTGTGAATAATACATGATATATTGGATTTTGGCATGATATTTTTTCCATTTTTTTTTACTATAAAAAAGAAATTGGAACATGTGAAGAGTGTTTGTTTCAAGTGAATCTTACCTTTTCCAATTGTAAGACATTAAATCTACATTGCCATGTCTGCAGAATGTAGGCATTTTTGGGTATTCAAGGAAGGATATAACTGATGAAGACTTGCGATCTATTATAGCTTCAACATTAACATGCCGAGTTGATCATCAGTATGATTTTCTTATTCTTTCTTAAATTATTACCTTCTGTGTCTTTTTTCCTGACCACGGACAAATCTTTAGTTTAGCACTTAACTTTACGCCAAACAACTTGGGAAACTGCTTGCTAGGTCATTGTTTATGAAAACTTGCTCCCAACTAATAGCAGATAAAATCTCCTGAAAGTTTTTTTTCACAAACTTTTACATGTGTCTAATTTCCAAAGTTGTAATGAAATTGGTTAATTTCATTTGAAACAGTTATATGTTTTCCTGGCTTGAGAATAAAAGAATAAGGTCCAGTTGCATTTTTTCCGTTGTGCCAGTATTATACGATATTCTTGCTTGTTGGCTAATATGAAATGCAAAAACTTTCAGAGAGAACTGTGAGGACAAATTAGATGCTTTCCTTAGTAGAACATATTATATTAATGGAGGCCATGACAATAAATCAGGGATGTCCATGCTGAATGCACGAATGGATCAAATTGAGGTAACTTTGAAAAAATCTCACCAGATAATAAGAAAGTTCTTTTTGTCTCCTATGGTATCTGATTCTATTACAGCTTATTATCTACCTCAGGGAGGATCCAAAACTAACAGGATATTCTACCTCTCTGTGCCACAAGAAGCACTTTTGGATGTTGCATCATGTCTTGCAAGCAGTGTTCAGACCCAAAAAGGATGGAACCGCATAATATTTGAGAAACCATTTGGTTTTGATGCACTTTCTTCCCACAGGATGACACAGTATCTTCTTTCAAACTTTCAGGAAAAACAAATATATAGGTATTTATTTATTACTTCCTCTTCCCTTCTCACCTATCAGTTCATGCATCCTAAGACAGATGGAAGAATCACTTGAGTACTCCCTACAATACTGTTACATAAATTGATTATTCATGTCAATCTATTGCTAGGATTGATCATCTTCTAGGAAGGAATCTCATTGAAAATCTCACAGTTTTAAGGTTTTCAAATCTAGTTTTTGAGCCGCTTTGGAGTCGAACTTACATACATAATGTACAGGTCAGCCCCCTTGTTTAATCTGATTATCATGCCTTAATTTCTGGAATTTATGGAAATTTTAATGTCTCTTCTGCAATTTTATGTTTGTCATCAACTTGTTTAATTAAATTGCTGTAGGTAATTTTATCTGAGGACTTGGCCGTGCATCCAGGAAGGTGATCTTGGTGACTGTATTTTCATTTGAGTAAATATAGTGCAATACATCATTCTGTACCGAATCTGTAGAAAGAATTTTTCCTTCACAAGTAGTTGTTTATTATATGATACGAGTTTAGTCCTTTGTTACCCGATACCCATGCAGATATTTCAGTGGCTATGGGATTATCCGTGATATTGTTCACAGTCATGTGCTCCAAACAATTGCATTGCTTGCCATGGAACCACCCATAAGCCTTGATGGAGAAGATATTCGAAATGAAAAGGTACACATGCAAAAACTCTGTAACATACCGTATGACAAGCCTTAACGAGTGTACCAAGTGGAATAAGTAATATAAAGCAAGTAAAGTATTTTTCCGTGAAGATTTATGTAACTGATTACTAATTAATTGTATTATAGCTGCTTGGATAAATGGAAAATGAATTAAAGGGAGTTCTATTGGAATTAAGTGAACATTTGAAAGTAACTATTATTTTGAGGAACTAGTTTTATAACCTGAGTAATGCACAGGAACATACAAAATTTAGTTATAAACATTATAAGTAAATAAAATTTCATTAAAGGTTATATATAAATCATCATTTTTCATTATCTTTTATTATATTAAATAGATCAATTTAAAGATTGATAACCAAATAATATTAGCATATACAATAAAACTAGTTATTAACCTTTTAGCCAATCTTAAGCTAATATTATGCACTAACTATTAATTGTTTCAATAAATAAATCTTAATAGAGTACAATGTAATTATATTAAACAATGTATTTCATAACAATTGCCTGTTAATATTGTGAGACTTTTAAAACATATTCTTTATTATTGGTTGAATTTTATTGGGGATCACAAATTATTGTGAGACTCATTAACTGGGGTATGCAATCCATATGATTTTGTGAGTCCCAATAAATTTCCATCAATTACTAATTGTGCGTTAAAAGTGTGTTAGCATTTTTTTTTCTTGTTTTTTTGAATTAAGTAAAACGAACAGCATGATAAAAACAACAGAATAAGTCCAAGCAATGGAATAGAAAGCTAGAGATTTGATTTCCACATATTTCATCCTTGGATAAACCAAATATAGATTTCATTCGAACTCTTGAATTTTAAAGGATGTTCGAATTCACAATTGTAAGTTAATAACCAATTCTTTAGTATATTTATTATACTCCATTTTTCCAACGATTAGAATCATACCTTACTTTCCAGTGAAATCTGCAATGAAGTAAGAAAACTTACCAAATTGACATGAAGAAAAGGCTAAATTATAAAGGAGTCACTCTAAAACATGTCTATACTCAAACTCAAACAACAAAATTACTTGCAAAACCTTGGGAGAACCACACCATTAAAGGTAGTTGTTGTTGTTCGAGAGCCCAAGACCTTATAAACCCCACACTAGGATCTCATACTTTCAATGTGAGACTCAAGTCCCATAATGCAATTAGATCCAATTAATAGAAGAACCTCATGACTCAAGCCTAACCACAACATAATCACAGAAATATTGCACCAACATCTTATCATCTATTTTTCTGCATTATTCTGTTTTATGAGTTGTAAATACCTAGACCTTTCTAGAATTAGTGTGCTGTACATATAGTACATGTGGTTCAGGAATATGCCACTCTTCTTTTTTCATTCCTTCTTATCATTAGGACTAGGTCATTCTATATAATGTAATGATTTTGACATAGAAATACAAGAAGAAAGTTTTCACCTTTACACATTGTTTGTTTCTGTTTTACCAATACCTTGCAATTGTATAATACTACATTAATGGTGTTTGTTAGGGACAATTTTTTATCTAGATATTAGGATTGTTTATTACAAATGACAAATTAAAAGATGCACCATTTTCTCATTATCACCTAGTAGTGTTTCTCAGGTCAAGGTTTTGAGGTCGATTCGCAAATTGGAGCCTAAGGATGTCATTCTTGGCCAATATAAAGCAAGTGGTGGAGACAAAGTTGATGCATGCTTAAATGGTCTGACACCTACTTATTTTGCTGCTGCATTATACATTGACAATGCACGCTGGGATGGCGTGCCATTTTTGATTAAAACAGGCTTGGGACTCATCAAACACCAGTAAAATCATTATCTTTCGTCAATTTTTTTCAGATATGTATTTTTTACGTTCTAGAATAGATATTTAGTCTTCGAGTATGTCGATCTTGTAACAATTATGAAATTTCCAATTTTGAATAAGTGGTGTGGTAGAAGGGAAAAGGATAGCGGTAGTAAGATGTTTTGTTATTTCAAGGTCAGTCTGAGAAAGGCTGAATAGTACAATGAGTTTCTGCCCCAATGTCTTAAACCTATACACTAAAAAGAAATATTGGAGATGTAAGAGTTGTCTATGGCTATTTTTTAATGCAGCAAAGCAACTCCTTTAAAAGCATAATATGGGCTTATGTTGAATCGGTCTGAAAGTTATTGGTTCAAATGTTATGTTATTTGCTGACCAAGGCTAGAAAATATGTTGTTGCAGAATGGAAATACGGATTCAATTTCGTCGTGTTCCGGGGAACGTGTATCACGAGTGCCTTGGGCATAACATGGACCGCGTGGTAAATGAGCTCATTCTACGCGATGTTCCAGATGAGGCTATTCTGGTGAGAGTTAACAATAAGGTTCCAGGATTAGGCTTACAACTGGACTCTTCAGAATTAAATTTGCTTTACAAGGACAAGTAAGCACTTAAATATTGGACAATTTGTTTGCAATTTGCATCATACTTTGACAAAATGATGCTAACTAAACTAACCATGCCTGCATGTTACCTTAATTATTAATGTTAAAGGTACAACATGGAGGTGCCGGATTCATATGAGCATCTTCTTCTTGATGTCATTGATGGTGACAACCATTTGTTTATGAGAAGTGATGAGCTAGAAGCTGCATGGAACATTCTAACTCCAATTCTGAACGAGATAGACAAGGACCATATATCAGTTGAGCTTTATGAGATGGGGGGTCGCGGTCCTGTTGGGGCATACTACCTATGGGCAAAACATGGTGTCCGTTGGGTAGATGATTAAATGTTCCTCCTTGTTTTTTCTTCTTCACATAGCACGTTACTATGTTTAATTTATACTATATTACCTACCTCATAATGACTACATACCTAGGTTGTGTCAAGTATTTTGGAATAAACTTCAACTGCTGAACAGCCTCGTTTATGTCTTGTTGACACTAGCACATATTCTTGAAAACTGTAGTTTTTGATTGAATTTAGGTGGAGAAAAAAGTTAATGAAATCCTAGAAACATAAAGAGAAGGAAAGCAAAGCAAGCAGAGCAAGTGCGCTACCATATATTTTCAGCACTGAACCGCTTTTGTC